TATATATATATATATATATAGATTAAAAATATGTCAAGTTACAATTGCCCATGTCTTCTTCCTCGTCCCCCCTTCTTCCACTCTTTTTCCCCTCTCCCTTCACCATGTGCCATAGCCCATAGTGGGTACCCGCTGGGCCTGGGCATAAATGGTTGAAAAATCATCATTTACTCCAACAATACCTTCAGCAGGGGATACATCAAGACTTCTCAATTTCTTTGCAAGTAGCTTTAGCGTAATTGGGGAAGATACTGAATCCTTGATAAGAAATCAAAATATGCAGCAAGTGATTACAAAAGTTTCTTTAAACCTTTTTTTTTAGGCTATAAAGTATCTCGTATTGGTTCCACTTGGGCCAGTGTGAAGAGAAAGCTCTGAAGGCCAAGACAATAAAATGCAGCCACCATTTGTATTTAAAAGAAAGGCAGAACAAGAAAAACCAAATTGGACGTGGAAGGCCACACATCATTATCTATCTCAGTGGTGCATCCCACCCAAGCAAATGCTCCGTTAACGTTAACCAAATTGCTGACATCATTTGTCCAATAAGAGTTTTTTTTTTCAACTATTAGAAGAGTTTGAGGGGTTAAAAGCTTCTGCTTTTAGTTCAGGGGGACTGATTTGCCCACTATTTGAAGTGTACAAGGGTTGATTTGTCCTTTTTCCTTTTTGATTTGACGATACTCGTGTCTGACGGACGAAATATCTCATTCAATAATGCCCGCATTGTATTACAAATATCTCATTTCACCAATGCACACAATAGTAAGAGAAAACATTAACTTTCTTTCCAAAAATTTATTTTCTCTAAGGTTTTTCATCATGGAATTTTCACTTTCTTCCATCCAAACTCTAGTTAAGGATATCGAGGAAGAGATGTTCTTAAACATCGATCCTTACTCATTTGTTTCTCCTTCTGCGTATGACACTGCATGGCTAGCCATGGTTCGAGATCCTCAGGAACCAGGTCAACCAATGTTCAGAGGGTGCTTGGATTGGGTACTGGGGAGAGTGTGATGGCCACGGCATGCCTACCATCGAGTCTCTTCCAGCAACTCTTGCATGTGTAGTTGCACTCAAGAAGTGGAACGTTGGGACAAAGGAAGTAGAAAGAGGTGATTACACGTGCTTCAAAAACTAGCTAGTTAGCATATGCATAGGCTTGTATGGTTTAACTATTAGGGAACAGCTCATCGTAGCTGTTCTCTCTAATTAATCAAGTTTCCTCTAATAGTTAAACAAACAACACAAATATATATATATATATATAAGATTTCAATATTATAAGTGTTAACACTAAAAATAGAAAGTATGGAACCAAGCACTTTATTGACAAAAAGAGTTTATAGTGGAGAGAAAGTAGAGAAAATAATCTGTCTCTCTAGGTTTATTCTTAAAGTATTTATAAAGTTATCTTAGGAATACAACTCTATTTGATTGGTGTTTGGGTATTTTAATTCTAATAGAATTGGGTTTATCCTATTCTTGGTAGGAGTCTTCATAAGATATTTCCATATGTCAAAATTTTCATAGGACTCAATTTTGGATATAACATTTGCCCCCCAGCGAAGAAAGTTTGAGGGTCACAAAAACTTGCTGAGTAGCTTCACTTACAAATTTTGCGTAGCTTTTTCATATCTTTGCCTTTAAGAGGTTCCATCTTATTATGGCAAAGATTTTGTGACTGTGGCTGCCTCGTTAAAAACCTTAGCTAGTAAAAAAACCTGTGGGATAAAAAACTAGTTTAAGGAAAAAATAGTATAGCACAGGTTTTTCATCATTTTCACAGCTTTCAGTATGCTTTCCATATGTTGCGTAGGTATCCTGATTTCTTTATTTGTATTTTCTTTAAGATTTCTTTGTTGGTGTAGTCATTTCCTTTTGCAAGCTTTTATATGTGTCCAGCCCTTACTTGTGATTTGTATCGGCCTTTGTACTTGCAGGATTTCTTGAGATTTCTTCGTTTTCTATTTTTTGCTTTCGGTTCTCCTTTGATGTTTTGATATGTTTTGATATTTCCTGCACTTCTTTTATTGCTATTCTTTCTTCTGCCCTGATATACCCCTCTACTCTCTTCAATAAATCATTGAAACTGGTTGGCTTTCGCTTATTTAAAGATCTGTAAAAGCTTGAGTCTTTCAAACCATCCATTAAGCTGTGCATGGCTACACTTTGATCCAGTTTTTCGACTTGCACAACCTCATTATGGAACCTTGCTATGTAGGCTCTTAATGATTCATTTATCTTTTGCTTAATCATCAAGAGATGATGGTTTGTTTTTTGGGGGTTCTGTTGGTAGTGAAGTGGTTAATAAATATGTTTGCAAACTGATTAAAGGTTTAAATGGATTTTTCTGGTAGCGTTGCAAACCAAGCCTGCATAGCTTTCTTGAAAGTTGCAAGAAATTGTTTACATAGTAGGGCGTTAGAAGCCCCATATACCATCATTGCCATCCTAAATCCTTGTACGTGCTCAACTAGATCCTGTGTCCCATCATATTCTATCAATTGGGAAGTTTTAAAGTTTAGTGGCACAAGTTCTTTAATGATGTCATTAGCGAAAGCCTTTTTTACTGACTATGTATGTTAATTCTGGCCATCTTTGTCTTCCTACTTCAACCTTCAATATATATTGGCGTAATGTCTCCATTTCTCTATAGATATCATTACCATGAACCTGCGCATCCTTTTTTACTAATTGTGTTGGTGTCATGGGTGTTTCTCTATAAATATCATTAGAATGAACCTACGCATCCTTTTTCACTAATTGTGCATATATTTGCTGCGCAGCTATTCCTCCGCTTCCTTGTGCACCAGATGTTGCACTTCTGTTTCGAAATTTATATTTAGTAAAGGCTGAGGATGGTTGCAAACTTGTATCAATAGTCAATTCTATTGGTCTTGAAGGTGCATAACTCTTATCATAATCACTGCTTTCCTACACCGAGTCTTGTGTTTTCCAAGAAGATTGTCGGACTTCTCTTTGTGCTGTGATCTTCCAAGGCGATGCTTGCCCATGATCTTGTGCTGGAATTTTTATAGCGTTCGTTAAAGACTCTATGGACTGTTCGATTGCCTT